GTTTTCCATGTTTAACAAAGATCGAAATTCGAGTTCTTGGACTTAATAATTATTGCATACCAGTTATCGATACTTTTCTTGCGGGTTTTAGAAAACTACGTTTCATGATCGTAGAAATTGTTCATAATGGTTTACCAGATGTTCCTATTTCACGAAACTATATCATAGAAAAACGGCGTCAATCATTTGGTTTAAATAGAAATGATGAATACAAAGTTAATGTAATACTTGGAGATGATGATTTGCGTATTTGGATTCCATGATTATTGTCTTATACATTTTGTTGTTTCATTTCATATGAATAAATCAAATAAACTATAATAAAGTTTGTAAAATTATCCTCTGTAGACAACTATTCTACTTAGATATTATTGACTAGAAATAAAATGTTCAATAAATAGAAATTAACATGTTCATATTTGTTGGTCGAAGAACTATTCTATGGATTTGAACATATCGATCAGGGGTCCTAATGGGCTGGGCTGGGCCTAAGAATGTCAGCCCATGGGCTATCGAACTTTAACCCGACCCACCCATGGTTTTCTCTCCAAAAATCGGCCCAGCCCATGGGCCACATGCTATTAAAATTGTTCGCATAGATAGTTTAGTTTGTCATATTGAAAAATATATAATAGACATTACTATTCTTTTATTTCATATATTAAATTTCAAAACTTATTTTTCTAATTAATAATAAAAAAGAAGTTATGTCAATAAAAATAACAGAAAATAAATAAAAAGAAACATTAATTTCTTTATACCTACATATAATTAATACAAAAACAAATGAAGATATCAATAGCAGCATCATAAATACGCAGTTTATATTACAAGTGAAAAATATCAATAAATAAATATAATATACAAAAAGAACCTAAGACAATATAAAATAACATATTAAGGCCCCCTCAGAAACGAACTTTGCTATTTTTCATCCGATTTCAACCAAAATTTCAGAGAATGTTAGTCTTGACTAGACTAGCTTATGGTTAAAATATTTCCTCCAAATCCCAAAGACATGCACAAGTTCTAGTCAATTCATTACCCTTTACGCGGGCAAGGATTTCACAATAAGGATACGAGCTAACAAGTTCGGACGATTTTCAAGTTGTAGAGTACCCTTAGGGCTAGAACTTAACAGGCGCCGATTTTTGAATTTCCCTTTATTTGATTTTTGAAAACGTTTTTAGAAAAATATTCAAATTCGAAGTACTAATAGAAATGATATATCTAAGTTTTTTTATTTTAGCAACAGAGAAATTTAAAAATCCGAGCCTGTTAAGTCCTAGGTCTACATGTCTCTTATATAATAAAAAAAATTATCACTTCTATGTCGAGTCGTTATGAAGAAAAACCAGCCCGCGTAAACTGCATGACGAAAAAACTGATTTTGAGAAAAACAGAAAATAAGTATTAGAAATCGATTTTACCAAAAATCGCTTGATTTATATACCGGTGTTCAAGACAGGCGATAAATATGTGATCTTATATTAAGTGTTCATAGTCTCTTAGTGATTAGTATTTTAAAAAACTTTACGAAATGCTGATGCAAAGTGAAAGCAGCCTAAAAAGGCGAAAAAGCTTGAAAGAAGCCGTGAAAAATTTTCGAAAAATCTGATGATAGGAGCCAAGTTTTACGCCATACGTTCGTCAAAATCAATTTATTTTTCGATAAACCATAGATATTCTGAAAGAGGAGACTTCGATGCATCTTCCTATAATAAAACTTCAATTTCGACTCGTCTCTGAAAAATTGGATTTTCTGAGGGGGCCTTAATTCAGTAGTTTTTTTTACTGACCTAATTACTATAATATTATAGAGTTGATCAGGACTTAATGATGTTCGACGTTCTTTAATAATAAAACCACTTGAACTGAAACACTTTTCTACTGCAGATGATGATTGTTACAGTCATATGTATCACTCTTTGACTCATTGGTATTTGTTTATTCATTTCGCATTCTTTGATGCTTTATTTCTCTCTATATATCGCTCTCTATACTCGCTTAAGAGGGGAGACAATCTGGAAATAAACGAACATCGAGAAGATACAGGGAAACCTCTAATATTTGGTGCCGTGACCCGTCTTCTCTCGATCATTTTCACATAACGTCGCAAACACCTGTGTATTGGAATTTTGTCATATTCATTAACTCTTCGGTACAATTCATTTTTTCCATTACTATTTACCTAAAAAAAAAACGAAAAACGACGTCTCAACAACGCAGACATTTGCGAAGCAACACCCAACCCGGTAACTTACTACCACACGATATAATCACATACGGGCGCATCCGACAACACGCTGTTCCTACGGATACAACTACTTCTTCACCTACTATTTCAACTACCAATATGGAACTAAATCCTTTTCAAAATCTTCTTAATACAACTGCTTTAAAGGAACTACCCAAATTTACTGGCGATCCTAATCAGAAAGTTACTCAGTTTATTAATGCTGTTGAACACATCGGTAGCTTCGCTGGATTGAATGAATCGATGCTACATTCTATCGCTACTATTAAATTAGGAGGATCTGCCTTTAATTGGTATGATAACAATAAAGACCATCTACAAACATGGCGAGATCTAAAACAACATCTTCTTGAACGCTTTAAACCATCTCTTTCTGCTATCAAAACGCGACTGAAGGAAAGAAAACAACAACCTGGTGAACTACTTAACGCCTACTATGATGATATTATTGATTTATGTAAACAAGTTGATCAAAATATGCCGCTACATATGATCGTTGATTATTTACAAGATGGTATGCGCAATGATTTAAAAATACACGTCAAACGTCGCCTGAAAACGCTCGATGATGAACCAACACCAGGTATTTTTTGGAAGATCGCTCATGATGAAGAAGAGTTACTGAACGAAATTCCTTCTGAAACCCAACAATCAATCTTTCCAACATCCCCATATTTTGCACCTGTTACTGCTGTCACTCAAAAACAACAAAGCAGCTCTGAAAATTCTCTTCATTCACACATCCCTCAAAATACTCGTACCACAGATTACATGCACATTCTTAACAAATCACGTGCCTATCGTCCTCGTCCCACACAAACGAATCACTTCTATCCATGTTTGATCTGTCAACGATCAAATCATCGTACTATCGACTGCTATCATAGACAGCCACGTGGCTGTTACAAATGTGGTAACCATAACCATAATGTTCGTGATTGTCCCCAGGTTTTTCAATAACTGGGACTCAAGATGGCGGAGATCTCAGTAATACTATGCCATCATCATCAACATTCTCAAACCCTTTTTTTATTCGTGCTCAAATCAATCACACCTATCATAATATTCTCCTGGACACTGGTTCCAGTATCACTATTATCCATAATCAATTTTTACAACGCATATATCACAATACGTTTGAACCTTCACAAAATTCTTATATCTCGGCTAATTGTACCACGATCAACATAATCGGTAAAGTTCAACTTGAAATAAAAATTAACGGTCTTTCCACTTTTGTAACGGCTTCTGTTGCTTCGAGTCTCGTCACTGATGTCTTAGTAGGCACTGACTGGATCAATCAATATGTTCTATATATGGATATCTCTACACAACGTTTAACTTTGCAAGATACTACAGGTCAAACTACCACCACTTCACTCATTCAATCGAACAATACATCATGTTGTACAGTCCGACTACTCGATCAAATTACTATTCCACAATACTCCGAATCTGTTATCAAAGCCGCAGTACATCTTCCAGATAGTTCAAATTTGTTGTTTGAACCGTCTTCAAGTTTTAGTCAAAAAGCAGTAGTACTTCCAACAGCTTTAATCAAAGTGACTAATTCTCAAACACACTTAACTATTATCAATACCACCAATCATCCATATATTTTACCTTCAAATACGTATCTCGGTACTGTTTCTTCATCATTACTAATATGTGCAACAACATCACCATATCAATCTCAGTCAACACAATTTCGATCATCAAAAAGACGTCATTATTCTCTGAATTCATCACATAAATGCTACGTCTGTCATCAGAAATTTTTATCACAAAACAATCTTTTTCATCATCTTCGTGTACAATGCTATCCGCAAGAATTACGACATCAAATTGAAACATTAACACAACACATCGACTCCGCCTCGCATCGCAAAAAAATCCAAGATGTCCTTTGGAAATACGGTAAACTGTTCGATCTACGTCAACCATCAAAAATCAATATCACTCTCGATCATGTGATCGATACCGGTCAACATCGACCAATCTACACTCCACCTTATCGACGTTCACCTCAAGATCATCAAACTATTACCGAAGAAACAGACAAACTGTTAAAACAAGATAGTATCGAACCATCAACATCACCTTGGTGCTCACCTGTCGTATTAGTGCGTAAGAAAGATGGTACTACACGATTTTGCGTTGATTATCGAAAACTCAATGATATTACTGTCAAAGATTCATTCCCGTTACCTCGCATCGAAGATATTTTCGATCAACTCTCTCAATCAACATATTTCACCACACTAGACTTTAAAAACGGCTATTTTCAAATTCCATTAGCAATTAATGATCGTCCTAAAACGGCATTTTCCACTCGCGATAATCATTATCAATTTAAAGTCCTCCCTCAAGGTGTAAAAAATGGTCCACCTACGTTCCAACGCATAGTAAACCAAATTTTAGGTCCTGCTCGATGGAAACATTGTCTAGCGTATCTAGATGATGTCGTCATTTTTTCGAGAACTTTTGACGATCATGTTTCTCATTTGGATGAAATCTTTTATTTACTTCACACACACAATTTTCGTCTAAGTTTCGAGAAATGTACCATCGCTACTGATAGCATCAATTATCTGGGTCACCACATTTGTCGTGGAGAAATTCGTCCAAATAATGATAATATACGCGGTTTGTTGGAAACTCCAACGCCAACAACACCGAAAGAGATTTTTCGTTTTTTAAAAGGAGCCGAATACTACCGTAAATTCATTTCCAACTTTTCCCGTATTGCTAGTCCTTTATATAAATATAATCCTTCCAACTCTACACATCCATCTAATACTAAACCTACAATTTTTACATTATCGGCTGACGAACAAGCTGCTTTCGAACAAATCAAACACATACTCACTACCGACCTTGTTCTTCGACTTCCCAATAATCAACTTCCTTTTAAAATACAAACAGATGCTTCACAACTTGGTATCGGTGCTGTTTTATTACAAACCTATCCTGAAGGTGATCGTCCTATATGTTATATGTCTAAGAAGCTTACACCTGCTCAACAACGCTGGTCTCCTATTGAACAGGAGTGTTATGCGATCGTCAAAGCTGTTGAATTATGGCATCACTATTTACACGGCAATCATTTCATCTTAGAATCTGATCATAAACCATTAGAAGCACTCATGCGTAAATCTCAAACGAACAACAGGGTGTGGGTGCGGGTGTGGGTGTGGGGTGTGGGTGTGGGGTGTGGG